TATATATATATATATATAGTATCCTTACAAATGTGGCTACTTTGTGAATTATAATTCAGCTACTTTTTAAAGTACTGATTTTCTTTAAATTTACTTAAGAAATACTTTACGTTGATTGCTGAACATCAATTTATGTTGTATAACTTGTTGAAAGTTAACAGACTGATAGAACAAAAAGAGAGGAGTGGCAGATACCAGAACAAAGATTTAGGGTTGAATGAAACAGTACATCTAAGGTAAGGTGGAAAATGGCACTGGATAGATGGTAGAGCTGAATGAGATACAATAATATGAGTTAAGAATTTGAATACTATGTTGATGAACTCATCTTCCTTGTCATTTGTTATTAAGAATTTCTGTGGGAGTAGAGGTGATGGACATGTAATACTTGCATTGGTTTAATAATAATTTATTTGGTATGTACGAAGTGCTAAGTCCTACCTTAAGAGCTGAGGATGTTGACTGAATGCATGTATTTTGTTGGTTTGTAACAGGATCATTGTTAATCACTTAAAGCACACAGATGTAAAATTGGTTCAAAAATGCCAGGGGACTTCTTTGAGGACATGTTGATTGTAATGTTGAAAAATAGATAAGAATGATTTTTCCCTTTTAGCTTTTATTTTTTCTGTTTTTATAAAAGGTAGTTACACTTCCCCTGTCTTCTTTAGCGCACCTCCCCAAAAGAAAAAACAAACAAAAAAAAACTATAGAGAAGTTTCCTTGTTAAAAGAATCAGTAATGGATAAACATTTAGGTAGAAGATACTGACTTTCCTCTCTGACTTGGTTTCATTAAAAAACATTCACCTATTTAAAAATTAAACTTGTTTTCTTGATTTCTAGGGTTAATTTTAGAAATAATATAAAAGAACTGATTATGCATTCAGGGTTGGTATAAATATGGTGTAACCCGTTTGGCTTTGATTTAAAGTGAATGTCACTGCATTCATCAGAAGCTGTTTCTCTTTTTAACTGAATAATTTATGCAGATACTTGACGTGTTCCAAATAAAATTCTCTGTTTATGCACAAACTCTTGAATTTCCATAGGTTACAGACACAGAAAGTTGGTTGAAAGGTTATCCGGCTCAGAACTCACAGTGAGGCATTTTGTGGGATACACTTTCCAGTACAGATGGTCCCTGATTATAATGATTGGACTTACGATTTTTCAACTTTATGATGGTGCAAAAGTGATACATATTAGGTAGAAATGGTACTTCGAATTTTGAATTTTGATCTTTTCTCAGGCAAGTGATATGTGGTAAACCACTCTCTTGTGATGCTGGGACGCAGCATCAGATCGCAGCTCCCAATCGCATTGAATCACAAGGGTAAACAACTGATATTCTGTAGTGTTCTGTGTTACCAGATGGTTCTGCCCGTCTGTAGGCTAATGTAAGTGTTCTGAGCACACTTAAGGTATGCTAGGCTAAGCTATAATGTTTGGCAGGTTAAGTGTGTTAAACGCATTTTTGTCTTCCAGTATTTTCAACCTACGATGGGTTTATTGGGACACAACCCCCATCATGAATCAAGGAGTATCTATATTCAATTTGAAGCAGGTTTTAAAAGTAAATTATCAGCCGGGTGTGGTGGCTTACACCTGTAATCCCAGCACTTTGGGAGGCCGAGGCAGGCAGATCACTAGAGGTCAGGAGTTTGAGACCAGCCTGGCCGACAAGGTGAAACCCCATCTCTACTAAAAATACAAAAACTAGCCCGGGGTGGTGGTGGGGGGCCTGTAATCCCAGCTACTTAGGAGGCTGAGGCAGGAGAATTGCTTGAACTCTGGAGGTGGATGTTGCAGTGAGCTGAGATCATGCCACTGCACTCCAGCCCAGATAACAGAGTGAGACTCTGTCTCAAAAAAAAAAAAAAGTAAATTATCATTTTAAACTTTCCATTTGAGTTTTTTCAACAAAGCTTAGTTATAAGAGGCAGGTCATTTTTGTTGGTGGTGTGTATGTGTATTTCAGTAGGTTGGCACAAAAGTAATTGCAGTTTTTTACTTTTGCGCCAACCTAATAGATACATATGCAGTTTTTTTTTTTCTGAGTGTTTTAGCAGCTAATATATTATTGCCAAAATTTTATAACTTTAACAGGAATTCTTTCAACTGAGTTCTCTTGATTCTCTATAGTTTTACTTGCATTGACCTTATTAAATTGTTGCATGCAACCAGGGGGAAAAACTGGTATTAGCCTAGGGAAGGTAGAACAAATAATTCTTTTAAGAAGTGATCAGAGGAGTAAAGAACTTACTCATGTAACCAAACACCACGTGTTCCCAAATAATCTATGGAAATAAAAAATTAAAAAAAAAAAAAGAAATGATCAGAGGAGAAAGGAAATTTAATGGAACCAAAATGTAATAATAAGTGCTAATTTGTCCAGGAGAATCAGCTCACCTATTAGGAAACAAAATTGAAGGAGTGATCAAACCATTATAAATACATATAGTATATAATCTATTATTAAATTATAATACATGTATAATTTCTTTACTAAAATGTATGCACATTTGAGATGCAGACATATGCTATTCACTGCATAGAAGATAATATAGCACACAGTTATGTGAATATGAAATTAGACAATTTAAGATTGATGGGTTGGTCAGTTTGCTTTATCCCCAGTCTAATAACTGTTTCTTTAGTGGCCCTTAAAAATATTGATGACCCAAGTGCAGTGACTCGTATTAAGTAATTAGATTGACTGTGCAGAAGGACAGGATAGGAGGATAGCATAAAAGTTGTACAGAAATGATCATATCCCTTTTATACTAAATAATTCTGGAAGCATTTGGTCATTTGACATAGTTTGCACAGCACTTTAAGGTTCCTCTGGTGGTGTCAATGACTGTCCCCCGACTCTCCACCCAGCTTACTCTTTTCCTTCTCCTCCCCTCTTCTTCCCCTGCTCCTCCTCTTCCTTTGTATGCCTACATACCTTCCTCCCTCCCTCTCTCTCTCCTTAGCTACTTCCCTTTCCTTTCCTTCCTTCCTTCCTTCCTTCCTTCCTTCCTTCCTTCCTTCCTTCCTTCCTTC